ATTCCTGGCTCCGTTATTTCCAATGAGCCTTCAAGCCTCTCCCATTGTTTCCAGTGGGCAATCCTGTTATTTCTTTTAGTACATCCCTAGAGAAGGGTTAATATTTTAGCAACAAAGTTCCGGACAGAAGAGAGGGCTGAGGCAAGACACTTGATTTGAGGCCTGAAGCGTCCCTTTTCTCTCTCTCTTTTCCCCTTCCAGTTAGGCCCATTATAGAGTTGTGGGGAACAAAAGCTGGCATGCACGCACACACTCTCTCTCTGGCTTCCAAATATATTTGTAAAATAGCTCCCATTTACTCCACAACTCGATCCTCTTTATTACCCAAGGAAACTGCGATTATCTTTCACTAAAAAAAAAGAAAAAGATGGTGACAAGTGGAGTTGAACATCAACAAGGAATCAGCTGCTGTTGTGTGTTTTTTTTCAAGGGCTCAAAGCTGTAAGTGAAACCAAAGTTCCGTTTATAGATTCCCAGTTCGGACGTCACACCTTCATTAAAAAAAACACCACCTTTCGTTATCAAAACCCTTCTCTACTCCATACCTACCAGCCTTATTCTATAACGTTTTGATACTCCTGTTTTTAGCTCCTCCAGTTTGCTGGAGAAATTCTTCATTTAGCAAACTGGCGCGCACACACGCTATTGCTTAAGATGAGAGCGTTTATTATGAACAACGCCCAATCGTAGAATAAGTTACCAGCGTTCTACACAGAGCATATAAAAAAAGTGATGCAACTTCGCACTTTTTCACGCCTTCAAAGCAAGCCCTGTTTACCCTTTCCACTTTACATCAGGGTAACACTCCCCGGCAAGGTTGAAACCCTTACAAAGAATTGCTACGGAGGAATACAGTTTCCCTCTCCGAGACAACCCAGCCCACAAACGCAGCACCCACCTTCGTCCTCCGCAAAGTAAACGGTAACGTGCTCTTCTGGCCACAATTCCACGTGGATCCGGCACTCTCCCCCGCCAGACCTCTTCGGGCTCTGGAAGTAGCGGAGGAGTTTGTTTTTCAAACTCGTGTTAAGACTGGAGGACCAATTCCCCGCCACCAAGACAGGGAAAAGAAACGCGCCCTCCTCGGCCATATTGGCAGGAAATGCTGGTAGACAAGCAAGTTTCCCCCGGCTCAGCGCAAAAGCTGGTTTAACTTTCGGTTTCCTTTCGCGGCCGCAGCCCCTCCCTTTTTGTTTGTCGCTTTGAAACGCCTTCGGGGGTGGGGTTGGGGGGGAGCAGAGCCGTGCGAGAAATGAAATAACGGCAATGGAAGCCCCTGAGTATGTGCAGAGTGCTTTTTTCTCATTGCCACTAGCCCTGCGCGTCGGGGTAAAAGGTAAAGGTTCCCTTGCTCGAAAGCCAGTCGAGTCCGACTCTAGGGTGGCGGTGCTTATCTCCGTTTCCAAGCCGAAGAGCCAGCGCTGTCCGAAGACGTTTCCGTGGTCATGTGGCCAGCATGACTAAACACCAAGGCGCATGGAACGCTGTTCCCTTCCCACCGAAGTGGTCCCTATTTATCTACTTGCAATTTCTTGCTTTCGAACTGCTAGGTTGGCAGGAGGTGGAACTAGAGATAGGAGCTCACTCCGTCTTGCGGCACCCGGGTCTCAAACTGCTGAACTACTGACCTTCCACAGCCTGCAGTTCAGCGTCTTAACCACTTGAGCCACCGCAGCACGTCGGGGTAGGGAATGCTATGTGGCCTTGAGCACTCCCCCCCCTCTCCATTTTAGAATTTGAGAATTGCCTCAGGTTGCTACCTTTGGGTTGGGAAATGCCTGGAGATGGGGAGGGGGGCTGGGTTTGGGCAGAGGGAAGAGCTTAGGGAGCTATTAATACCATAGCGTCCACCCCCCAAAGCAGCTCAGTTCATAAAAAAAGTAAAAGCCAGATCTACACAGATCTGGATCCTCTGCTTTTAAAAACAGAACTCCACGAAATCCAGTACCAAATCACATGTACAATCCAGGGCCAATACTCCCTCTAAGCTGTGGAGTCTTGTGAGCAAAAATACTACTTTATGAGCTACTGGCATTAAAGTTGTGAGGGAGCGATTTGGCTACAGCATAAATTAGTTTGCTCTGGAGGCATCCTTTCAGAGCTAAGACAAAAATGCGTGAGCCGGAGGCTAAAAAACTGTGAGCTAGCTCACACTAACTCACCTTAGAGGGAACACGGTCCAGGACTATGGACATGATTATAGAAAACACAGATCCAGCAGTTTGGGTCAATGCAACAGTGCAAAAATGACGTGGATCCAACGCATAGATCCTCATTGAAATGAAATAAAACCAACCTCATACTGTAGATCATGTCTTACTCTATAGGAAGCACCAGGAAAGTCACTCATCCACTACATCATGGTGTTGTAGCAGCTCAAAAACATAGTTTCAAAGTATGGATTCTCGTGAATCCCTGGGATTTTTGCACTGGGTCACCCCAAACTCATAATCAGGTCACATATCACATCCATAGCCACAGATTTCACCACGGAAATCACAGATCTGTTGCTTTGTGGTGTTACAACGTATAAACTAGAAGGTCACAGCTATATATCCGCTTGAATAAAGAACACATAAATAAATAAATAAATGGAAACGTACTCCAGGGAGTTTTAGCAACCTCTTCAAAACCTCTTCAAACCTCTTCGAAATCATGTTGTTTTCTACTTTTCTGTGTTGTTGAAGAATTGTATTGAGAATTGTTCCCATGTTTTGAGAGTATACCTTATAGCGCACTAACAACAGCTTTTGTGGTGTTACAACAGCACAAAAACATGGTTGCGAAACATGGCTCCTCAGGATTTTTCCATTGGGTCACTCCAAACTTACTTTCCGATCATGTATCATATCCATAGCCACAGATTTCACCACAAAAATTATGCATCCACCACCTTGTGGTGCCCCCACAATGCAAAAACATGGTTTTGAGGCATTGATCTTCAGGGGTTTTGCATCACACTGCCCCAAACTTAGTTATTTTCACATTCACTTTCCATTGTTTACTCCAGTGTGTGAGATCAAGTTTATAACCCAGATTTTGCATCCATTTCACCATACAGGCTTTAACCACTTCATATTCCATTTCCATTAAGAATACATACATTTTCTTAATCGGCTTATCGTTAGATGTACACAACAACTTCTCAAACACACTTTGTCCAGAATAAAAACCAATTTTTCTATCTTTAGCGTATCTAGATTCAGTCTGGGCCCTTGTCCACCAGTCCAGGCTAATTCCTTGCTTTATTAATTCCTCCTTTGTTTTTAAAAGTCCTTTATCATCTAAGAGATCTTCATACCTAAAAAGTCTGTCTGAGGGGATTAAACTTGGCTGCGAGAAGGCTTCCAGGGGTGAGACGGAATTTTAGAGTATACCAAAGGTCAGATTTTGTCCCAAGTTGTTAATAGGGATTTTTTTATCAGATGATTTTAAAAATATTTATGTCTTGCCACTTTCCCATGCCAAGCAAAAGCATGCCAGTCTAACTTTAAATCATGTCCCTCTAGGGCTCAAAGTCTTTGATTATCCAATAGAATCCAGCCTCTCATCCATACCAGGCAGGCCACTCTATAATATATCTTCCAATCCAGTAGATCAAAACCCACATTTTCTTTAAAGTCTTATAACGCTTTCAATTTAATTCTTGGCTTATTTATTTATTCATTCATATCTTCAAAAAAAGAGTGATTAATGCAAACTGGGATAGTCTGGTATAAGAAAATAATGTTCATTTTCACAGCTGCTACCTTACAACCTTAACGTTATTTAGGTAATAGTAATAGATAATAATTATTAATATTAATTAATAAATAATAATAATAATAATTAATAATGTTAATATATAGGATAAAGCAAAAGAACCCACTACTAACTAAAAGCCCAAGAGAGGAGATCCTCACTAGCTGAGTTACAACAAATCTTCATTTCATTTAGATTATTATAAACTGGGTCAAACATTTATATTACTTTTTTTCTTCTTTTTCTTTAACTCTTAAATTTAACTGTCTAGGAACAGTACCCCCAATCATCCCATTTCAGAGTTCTCAAAGGCACAATTCAGAGTCCTTCAGCCTTCACTTCTCCTTTCCTTGTCTCTTCCGCAGCTTATAAGGACTTTTTGGAGCAGCTTCCCCTAACCTTTGTTGGTCTTAAAGGTGCCACTGCACTCTAAATTTGTTCTGCTGCCTGGATCTATTGTAATGAATAGTAGAAATTGGAATGTATTCCTCTGGTTTGGAGACAAGGGAGATAAATTTGCACAGCCATTCTCCCCACTTCAAAGAAGATACTGTAAAGTCGCCTCCATGCTTGAGAGGAGATGGAGGCAGGGTCTCAATGAATTACTCTCAACATTCCACAATTTAGGATACATCAATCTCCAGTTTTGACATATTTATTTCCTTCACTGGTTTCCCTCAGAATTGAGTCCAAATGGTAACCATATAAACTAGGCTTATTATCCCTGTTTGATCTGTTTCACTGTATCTGAAGAAGTGTGCTTGCGGATGAAAGCCACTGGACTCAAACTTTGTTCTGCTGCTTCAGACCAATACAGCTACCCACCTGAATTTTTGTGCCACTGTGTTATCACGAAGGCATGGATCCATGATTTTGTTTGCTACAAGCTGTGCCGATGGACTCAATAAGTGATTTGATGGTGAATTTGGGGTGACATAATGGAAAAATCTTGAGGATCCGTGAGGATCTGTCCTTTGGGACCACGGTTTTACACCATTGCTGCGCCACAAAGCAAGAGATCTGTGATTTTTGCTGTGAAATCTGTGGTAATAGATATTATAGGTGATCTGTTGGGGAGTTCCAGATGACCCAGCACAAAAATCATGAGGATCCATGAGTATCCATGGTTTGGAACTATGCTTTTGCACCATTGTGGCCCCACAAAGCAGTGGATGCATGATTTTTGTGGTCCCTCACTCAAACCATGAACACACACTGGGAATTTAACTACAGCCCAGGACAGAATGGTGGTCCTTTGCAAAACCCAGTCCTTTGATTAATATACATGTGTAACCATTATTGTGATTCTCTGTTACTGGATGTGCAACTTCATCTTGTTGCCATATACTATGGTCTTCTTAATGGTACCTTATATGTCATTTGTAATCCTTTTAAAAATATTTTTGTTTTAAATTAAATTTTAATAATATATCCCCTCAAGAAAATATACAGTACTTAAATACCAGAAAAGGGGAGACAGAAGAGAGTCTTACCCAGGGCTATTTTTGGGCAGGAACGCACAGGAACGGAGTTCCGGCTGGCTTCAGAGTTGGCCACGCACACTACAACCATAACCTCTGCGTGTGTGGCTACAGAGGGAAGGCCTGGAGAGCGACCCCCCGGCAACTCTGAGGCGGGTGGGCCGGGGGCCCCTAGAAGGATTGGGGAATCATTTAAATGCCTCCCTGTTACTTCCCCGGCCTGTCCAAGGGCCGGCTTGCCTGGGTGCCCCGCAGCTGCGGGTTGCCCA